AATTCGCTGGCACGTGCATTCCTGCGCAGCTAGATTACTTTTTTCCTCGGTCGCATAACTACCACGCTCACAATTCACCACGTCGGGGTGAGCAACATACTAAATCATGCAACAGTAATTTCTCGATTCGCACGAGCGGGAATAAATTTTGAAATGTTCGTCGTAGGATGGACTCGGAATTGAAACAGTCCGCGACTAATTTTAATCTCCGATTCACCGTAAGAGTTTCCATTAACGACAATCCATTTCCCAATTACTAGCCACTAAAATAAGTGCCCCCGTTTACGACCGCAATTTACGATTCCGATCGCCAGTATCTTCCAGCCATAATTTTTCCTGTTAGGGACATAAACCGACCACCACGGCGTTCCACGATCGTCTGCCTGTAGGAGTTCAACGAGTTTCACGGCACAGTTGGACGAAACTAATGATATATTATAATGTTACTTAATTGTATTCAAGGTTACGTAATGAAACAATTAAATAAATCTACAGAAACACAAAGTTAGGAATTACTGTAAGATAACGAATGTGTTTTATGGCGTACGAAGTTCTATATTGTTTTATTAACTGACCTTTTTTATTAGGAGATAATAAATAAGAAGTAATAAATAACTTCCTCTAGCATACTAGAAATCATTTATTCATAGTGCATTCCTTTCTTTATTTTCACCGAATGTCTTCACCTTTCGTACTAATTCCTGTTTTACATACAGAGTGGTTGTGCACTGACATTGTTATTTGCATGAATATAATGCTGAATAAAAACATGTAAGTAAATTACGTTGTAGATGACATTAATATTACAGACTTGTATTTACATAATTATTTCAGAGTATATTACACAATATCAGATAATGATTATAATATGATTACAATGTAATGATCTTAATATAACGATTATAAAGATTACAATATAACGATTATGATATAACCATTATAATATAATGATTACATGCTAATGATATTATATTATAATTATACATCCAGAATTGTCTCGCAATTCGGAAATGGGGGATTCCAGAGGTCATTTCAAGCAACTTTTCCCTTAGCGAAAATGCAATCCGCTGCTTTGTTTACGAGTTATTAACGAAAAACGGCGACCAATGAGATGCGAGATTAGCTGGCACGTGGCAGCCTAGTCAATGAGCGAAACTGAACTTCGCGCGTTCGTTGGCTAGGTCGTCCCGCGCCAGCCAAGCTCGTCTCTCATTGGTCACTGTTTTTCGTTAATAACTCGTAAACAAAGCCACGGATTGCGTTTTCGCTAAGGAAAAAGTTGCTTCGAATGACCTCAGGAACCCTCATTTCCATATTGCGAAACATTTTTGGGACACCCTAAAGACTGCAATATAACGATTATAATATAATGATTATAATATAATGATTGCATTCTAATAATACTGTATTATAATTATACATATATATGCTATATAATATAATGTAATCAAGTAACACCAATATTTTCCAGTTCAGAACTTCACGAAGATCGATTTGGGAACGCTGTCGGGTCGTTTCGTCCAAATGTGCGCTAATGGCTGTCATCGGTTGCCACTTTTCGCATTCCGATCATGTCGAAAACGCTTCCCCGTGGCTCGCGGGCGTCTGATTGGACGCGGACGCGCGTAATTATCAAAGAGTGTCTCACGAGGACCCGCAGCGGCAGAGAGCAGCGGAGGCTGGTCGGAGGTTCCAGGTAGCGGTAGGTCGAATCGTAGGGATCGTTAGGCGAACCAGTCGGGGAAAAATCGCGCGTTAATAGCGGCGCGCAATTAAATAATAGCAAGGGACCCTGTACCACCCGCGGCGGCGTGCCGCGGCGATTTCATTAAAGCGCCACTTAGGACGCGATACGATATTCCGAGGAATGAATACGGTGGCCATTCCGGGTGCCGTTCCGCGTCCTGTAAAAACGACATGAACGCGCGTTCGCGAATTACTGCGCCGCGACCGGCACGCACGCCTCTAAGTGGAATTTAAATAAACATCTAATAAGAGCCGACGCGCAAAGGAGACGACGCCGTGCCTTTTTTTCCCTCGCGCCGTTTTCGAGCGGGGCCTTTTTGCCGCGGATAATTTGCGGAGATGGAAGCAGCGCTCGCCGGCCAGTTCTTTTGTGTTTGCTATGACTAGGCGCGAAATTGCCGATAAATGCGCCGAGATGCTTCGAACAAATTTTTGAACGCGCCGCAATTATCGCTTCGGCTTCTGTTTACTGCAGCTGCGTGACATCATGGTCTTTTTTCGGCGATCAGCTGGTCTTTCGTTTAGCAATAAAACACCTTCTTGTTAACGCGTCAAGTGCCTAAAATCAACTCCAAGAATTCCCACAGTTTCCATAATTCGATCGATTAAACTGAAAAATTCAAATTTATTACAGTGGATGGTATTTTAACATTCTTTTTTTGCATTCCGAACATCCTAGTAAAATTCGGTTCGTTTCGAATACATCGTAATAGAAATAAATTTTGAAAACTACTAAGAAATTGGTGTCTTTAATTAGTGTGCCAGAAACTCAAAGTAATTTAATTAGTAATGCTGAAACTCGAGAGTGCTAAAATGTATCACAGTGAACGGTGTTTTAACTCTTTTACATTCTAAACGTACTAATCAAATTCAGTTAGTTCTAATGTATTACCATAAAAATGATTTTAAAAATTAATTAAAAATTAGTGTCGTTCATACAACCTGTTAATAATTGTCCAACTTTATTTATTAGACAGAGGTCGATGATCGTACAGAATTATGCGGAGGAGTTTCAGGATTTAATAAAGCATTTTTCTCGAGGAAACTTCTGAAGACGGATAAAGGAGGGGAGGGGAGTGAGGGTGGATAAAGATCCACAGAAAAAGATCCTCGAAGGAAAGTTTCAACAGTTAAAACGATTATTAGGCGTTTGCTTTCACCCTGGAATGCTATAAAACCGGGAGATACGAAATCTCCGGATGACGAAGAGGCGCCAAGGCTGGACCCTTCCAGGGAGACCGGTTGATTTATTAATTTCTACGGCCGAGGCCCCGTTTCTTTTCGTTCCGCGGCATTCTGTATCGATTCAATGATACCTCGACCCACCAATTAAATTGGTTAATAACCATCCTGGTTACCTGCTCGTTATCTATGCCTACTCGCCGACTCTTAACGCAATCGTTAAGTGACACCCACTCGCACGCGATCGTCAATGGCGAAAGGGTTGTGAAAATCGCGACATTTACGGAGCACAGCCTCGATTACTTTCTAGAACCTCGAGTCCTTCGTTACGTTATTTGTAAATTGAAAATCGCGAATATTTATGTAAATGTGGACACTATATCATTTCCTAGCAGAACAGATTAATCAACTGATGCTAATGAGAAATGCTAATAAGATAATAATTGAAAAATATCCCGTTGAAGTTACCATGAGATTAAGAAAAAACATTCTTAACATAATTAGGGTGATTTAAAAACTATTTCAAATTCTAAGAATATTTAAATTGCTTATTAATATCTTTTATTTTCTCATAAATCATTGCAATTATAATAAATTATAAATTATATAATATATATATAAATTATATATTATATAATAATAAATTAATAATAAATTATATAATATATATAGAATTTATATTATATAAATCATAATTGCAATTATAAAAATTTTGCATAGAAAAAAGGCAAAAAAATGTGTAGATGTCGTAATAATCTTTTTTCGTAATATTTGAAAGCAAATGTGTCGGCTTTTTAAAATAATTTGTAGGGACTCTAAGCTTGTAACTATGTGGGCAGTACTGTTTTTCGAGTCAGACTAATTAATTCCCACCAGGCCATCTGTTCACGACACCTAATTTCCTGGTTATCTGCTCAGCATGTCGGATCGGTAGAATCTCGCCTGAAAATCTAGACCTAAGACAATTAGCCTGGGGGTACAAAGACGAGTGTCACTTATCAGGGGCTTATCGGCGCGAGAGAGTTGACCTTAGAACACACGATTCTCGTGGAAACGGTTGTTCGGTATATCGCCTTGCAGATAAATTGTTAGAGCTGCAAGCGATTGTGCCACACAGATCGTGGTACTCGATATTCGCATGCCTCACGGTCTCGATATTCTGGAACTTTCTTCGAAAAGATCGTAGAGCGACGTTTCTGGGCTCGTTTCGAACCGCGAAATCTCCAATTTAAAAATGTTCCAGTTATCTTGGATTCGCCGCGCCGTCAGACGCCGTAAGTTTTGCTACAATGCCGGTTTTCGCAGACCGCTGGAAACGGCAACAAATTTTCTCAGCAAAAGAGACCACGGTGGTCGCGAAGAATGAAGTCTCCCCTTTCCAACGAGTCCAAAAACTTTGTCTCGCGACTTTTCAGTGCCATTTTGCGATCACTCGAACGAAAAGCCTGTCGCCGATGTGAAAATAGGAATCCAAACACGAGCCGGAATATTCGACGTCGAAATTCAATGCGTTGCAACTTCGTTGAAAAGAAATTGTAGAACAATATTTCTTAGTTGATTCGAAAGAGTGAAACCCGCGCTTTCGATCCGCTTTAGTCGCTCCGCTCCGCATTGCGGCCTCGGTAATCGCGCGCTGACTAAAAACAGAAGAGTTCGTCAAATATTTTCCGCGAGCGAGACGTTCTGTTCGTAAACATGACATCATGCCTCGCTTAGGAACGGCTACATAATCGATCCCCGGCAGCTTCCGTATTTCCACAGACGGATCACGAAGTTAATATTTACGTCAGTCATCGAGTTCTAAAAATATCGAGGTCGGTTCTAGTGGATAAGCGTGTACGATTTAATCGGAGCAATAAGCTCAAAGTGCATCATCCAGAATCGCTTCGAGATCGGCTCGAGGGGGCCACTTCAGCCGATACAAGAGCAAGAACAAAATGGTAATTGATAGAATCGCGGGGGCCATGTGGCTCGCATAAAATATCAGCTCGCGGCCGTCTTCGGGGGGCTGCCGCAACCCCTTCGGTTGAGAAAACTCCGGCAAGAGGAAAAAAAAGAGAAACGAGCCTTACCTTGACAAGCAGGTGGATCGGCTGGCTGACGCTGAGTGGTTTGCCTCTTCTGGCGTTTCCGCCTCCGCCACCCAAACACTTTATCCACGGCATTCCTCGGCCGTTTTCTCGCCTCTCCGTTGCCCTGTTCGCTTCGGTCCTCCTACCGCCTCCTCGGTCTCTTCCTGACTCGCGTCTCTCTTCCGCGAATCCCTCAAGGTTCCCTCGGCTTTCCGCTTCTACGCGCGACGCACGATCGCGGACGCATCTCTCAGCCCTCGCCGTACCCTTCAGCGCGGCGAACTCTATGGTGGAGGAGTCGCGGACGAAATCGATGGAAATCTACGCTCGAACCACTTGCCAAGAGGCGGCCCACCCTTCGTGAAAACGGCTACTCCGCCGACCCGTTTACGCAATTTTCGGATAACGATCTTCGGCGTCGCCTCGATTTTCCACGAAATTTTCGTGAAAAATTCTCTTCGATTACTGCTATTTAATTCGCAAACTCCTTCTACAGAGTCTCCTATAATTCGTCTCCTAAATCGTCGGAGATTTATCGGAGGAAACAACTCTCCGTAATTTCCTAATTCAGTCACGGTTTTCAATGTTTCGTAAAAAAATCCTCGAAGGTGGCAGCTTATTGTTCGAGATTGAAGACTTTCGGGTTCTTTTTTTTTTTAAAAAAACGCCTATCTTAGACAGTCTTGGGATTTTTGGAAATCTTCGTCACTTCTTCGGACTTCGTCGATTGTTTCGCGATCCGTTTTCTCTCAGAAACGTCGCCGGCTTTCCATCGTTCCTTAAAAAATCTTCAGCCTCCCGCGGCAGCAGAATTCGTCGAGACGAATCTTCTCAGCGTTTCACCGTCTCCCGCAGGGTCCCTTTTCTGTATCCTCGCAGTCGATGCCTCGTCCCCAGAGAGACTCCGAAGTCAGCCTGCCGAGCGGTTTCGCAAACTTTCAAACGGTCCCGCGTGTCACAGCCGTCTGCACGCCCACCGAAGCCCTCTCTCAGTCGCACATGGTCCTCGTACGCGTCCGTGGCTCGGATTACAGAAGTTTTACAGCGGCCGTTTCTTCATGACGCGAATCGCGGCTGCATGCGGAACGGATCATTTATTCGCGTGCAGTTCTGCCTCGCGGCGACGTTACGCGACCCACGTCCTCTCTCGCGCGCGGCTCCCGCGACACTGGCGGCTGTCGACTTCGCTATCGTCGATTTTATACGCGCGCCTTGACAGCCCCGGGGTCGCCGCTTCCCTTATCTACGAAGACGAGCCACCCCGTTTCCCACCGAACGGCCCACCGTTCACGCACAGCGGGGCCACCTCGCGCGCAGCAACTCGCACAGGTGTTTCGTTTAAAGAGACACAGCGATCTCGTTTTTCAGCCGGCCAGCGCGATCGACTTTCTCTATCCGATCGCTAACGCGGATCGGACAAAATCGATCCGGCCGATTTCGTAATTCTCGCACCAAAAGTTTCACGAACCAGTCGCGCGAAACTTTTTCGATAAATATCCTCGCGCCTCTCGTCCCCTAAAATCGGCCCGAACTTTTTTAATCGGCCCCTTCTTTCGCGGACCACCGCCGATGCTGAACTTCCTGGATCTTAAAGCATCGGCTTCTAAGTCGAGGAACTCGGCCGAGGATCGATCGATCACTGTTGCTTTTCATTCACCGCGGAACTGCCTCGAAGTTGTCAATTTTACAGATCGCCGAAAACACCGACGCGGCGCGTAAATCACGCCGTATATTTCAACGTGACGTTTCGGTATCGATCCTCCGTTTCGGCATCGATGTGTCAAATGCCTCCGGAGATTTCAACGTGCTGTTCTCTGGTCAGCAAAGCCGTTCGATCCGATCCGAGCGTCTCGTCGAGATTCCGCGATCGCGGCGGCGGCGAAGGGAGGAGTGCCGGAGGGCGTCGGATTGACGTTTCGTTCGAAATACCCGCGTGAATGAGCGAGCACGCGTGCTGGACTAGTTGGTTTCACGAGCGTGCTGTTTTCTCGACCAGCTCGACCCGCGGCCCGCCGTCGACTGACAGAAAATACCAGCCGGGACCCCGAAGAGCGCTCCGAGGGCCGGACAGAGGGGCGGCAGGGATCGACAATCCGTGTCGAAACGCAGCTCGGCTATCCGCATCTGCGCCTCCTCTGCTTTTTAACCGATTGCTCTCGTTTCTCCTGTGCCACGATCGTCGAAACAATCTGTTAATGCCCCGCGAACTTCGTCGACGATTAATCCTGCGGCATTCGCGAGCAGTTCCCCTGAAAATTGGGAAGAAGCGCTGGAATTTTCGGCTGACACGGCGGATACGAAAGTATCCGGAGACGCGATCGCGAATTCGCGAAGAATTATTATGCTACGTTTAAATCTGGTAGAATTAATCGAAATACTTTAGAGTGCAAGAGATGCATTTTTAAATTTTTAGTTGATCAGATAAATTATTGTACTTCGGTTGTATGTAATTTTTAACTTTGCGTGGGCCTATTTTATTGCTTGAGGTCTATTTATTTAGACTTATATATTTATAATTGTTATTTATTTTATTTATATGCTCAATGAATTACGTTAATCATCGCTCATTTTTATACTAAAATGATTTTACCTGATTTTTCAGACGAGAAACTGAAGATATATTTATATAAAAAATGCTGCTAATGGAAACATCTCCGAAATTGTTAGAAAAAATATTTTTCATGCATCGCAGATGATCGATTAATAGATTAATAGATCAACATGATTGCGATCATGTTTCTGTATTTATCTCCTCTATATTTCCACAATTAATCGTGGGAATAGCAATGTTGTAATAAAAAAATTGAGATGATAGATATTTTAATATTAATAATATGATATAGTCTGTGAGCTTCGGTGTTCCGTTGGTCGTAAAAGACTTTTCTATAAATAATTTTTCGATGTTAATTGTTAGACTGTTTGTTACTATCTCCCACGTATCGCGTCTCGCTCCAATTACTGGCGCATTATAGCCGTCTAATTATTATTATGGCTGAGTAAACAGCTCGGGAAATGTTTCCAACAGATACCGAGTCGTTAGACAAATAACATTAATTGCACACAAATCTGTCAAAATGAAAGTGTATTGCACATTAGTCGTAGAACTGTACTTATTGTTCCTTTGATCTTAGACGTTGTCATAAAATTCACCTCATTCGAGTGAAAAATGAATACAATAAGATTGTATATGTATATTCAAACATGAGAGAGAATCAAGAATTTTTTCCTAATGATTTCTACACAAACGAAATTTACATCATCTATATAAATTATTTCGATACTTCGCGAGGGTAAAGAATAAAAAATTGTTAATACGTAGATAGCAGACTATATATATATAATTTTATATAATAAATAACAATTTTATATATATATATATATATATATATATATATATATA